AGAGGGAGGGAGAGGGGGAGGGAGGGGAGGGGTAGAGAGGGATGGAGAGAGGGAGGGAGAGAGGGAGGGAGAGGGGAGATGGAGGGAGAGAGGGAAGGAGGGGGAGAGGGGAGAGAGGGAGGGAGAGAGGGGGAGGGAGAGGGGAGGGGAAATTAAGGGAGAGGAAGGGAGAAAAGGTTGGGAGACTAAGCAAGTGGTCATCCTATGCCGGTGTGTCACGATAGTATCATATTCAAATCACATGTGCTCTAAAACAGTGGCGTAGCTAGGGTTGGTTTCACCCGGTGTGGTCCGCACCCCCCCCCCCACACCCATAGCTACGCCACTGCTCTAAACCTTAAAATTAAGTTCAGTAATGTGCTGTTTCTTTCCATGTCCTCTCAAAACAAATTCAATGTGCTCATAAATATCCGGACATTTGTTTTCTGGAGAATTCGTGCAACAGCGGGCTGCGTCATGACGGGGTTCCAATGTATTCCATTACTTTGATTTGTTGATTGATGACAATATATGCTGTAAGAGACTGTTTAAGAATGAGCTCTAATTAGTGCGGCATGTCAATGGTGTGAGAATCACTGTTGTTAATATGAACGCTTTTTTGGTCAGTGAGCTGTGTCCCGAGTTGAATTATTGAGAATAAATGGTCATTGGATGGCAGGACGGGCAGAATAAATGGTAATTGGATGGCAGGACGGGCAGAATAAATGGTCATTGGATGGCAGGACGGGCAGAATAAATGGTCATTGGATGGCAGGACGGGCAGAATAAATGGTCATTGGATGGCAGGACAAGCAGAATAAATGGTCATTGGATGGCAGGACGAGCAGAATAAATGGTCATTGGATGGCAGGACAAGCAGAATAAATGGTCATTGGATGGCAGGACGAGCAGAATAAATGGTCATTGGATGGCAGGACAAGCAGAATAAATAATAAGGTGTGAGATGGAGAGAGTTCAAGGCACTTGATGATGGAGAGAGTTCAAGGCACTTGATGATGGAGAGAGTTCAAGGCACTTGATGATGGAGAGAGTTTAAGGTACTTGATGATGGAGAGAGTTCAAGGCACTTGATGATGGAGAGAGTTCAAAGCACTTGATGATGGAGAGAGTTCAAGGTACTTGATGATGGAGAGAGTTCAAGGCACTTGATGATGGAGAGAGTTCAAGGCACTTGATGATGGAGAGAGTTCAAGGCACTTGATGATGGAGAGAGTTCAAGGCACTTGATGATGGAGAGAGTTCAAGGCACTTGATGATGGAGAGAGTTCAGAAGAAAGTTAGTGAGGGATAGAGGATGCTTTTTTGAATAGTGCTTTCTGCTTGGGATATTTTGGAACAAGGTGGATCTGTCCGACAGATGGATCTGTGTGACAGGAGGTGGATCTGTGTGACAGGTGGATCTGTATAACAGGAGGTGGAACTGTGTGACAGGAGGTGGATCTGTGTGACAGGTGGATCTGTGTGACAGGTGGATCTGTGTGACAGGTGGATGTGGATCAGTGTGACAGGTGGGTCAGTGTGACAGGTGGGTCAGTGAGACAGGTGTAGCTGTGTGGCCGGTACGCAGAATAAAGTGATGTTTTTCGAGCATTTGGTATTCCTTGACCTTAGTGCACATAGGGTCAGTCACAGTGTCTATTGACAACGTTGCCAGAAACACTGTCAGAGTCTCGCGTAGAAATCGGAGAGCATTTTGACAACGCCCCTGTGAGGTCAAATAAAATTTACATTATTTAAATCAATTTATATTAGATAATTGAATCGTATAACAAACAGAATAATTACACTCAGTGGTGTCACTAATTTGGGTGCAGGTTGCACCAGGAGACAAACTCACAAAAATTGGGGGGGGGGGGGGGGGGGGGGGGGAAGGGGAGGTGGCACCCAGGGTCGACAACTCAATAAAAAATAAAATGTACGGACCAATTTCTAAATCTCCACAATTTTTATGGACATGTAACATATTCACTCACTCATCCACCCACTCACTTACCCACTCACTCTCAAACTCAACCACTCACACACTCCCTGATCACGAGATCTCAAGAACACCAAGACCTATGACTTTTTTTTGTGTGGTAAATTCAGACAATCCGCGTCATGGCCGCCATCTTGGTTAGCACGACTCGTGAAAGGTCACCCTAAACCTATCCCTAAACCTAACCTGAACCCTAAACCAACCTGAACCCTTAACTTATTGTTAAATAAACACGAAAATGACGTCGTGGCGCGAATAATCTGCTTTAGCCGATCAATGTTTGAAATGGAGAAGACTCTCCTACTCGAGACACGGGCTGACAAGTTGTGCAATCAGCTTGCAAGTGGCGTCACATGACCCAGCTCCACAATGAGCAATAATATTGTTTGTTTCGGTAGCGTGTCGGGTTTTTTTTTTGTTTTTTTTTTGGTTTGTGTTTTGATGTCACGTGTTACGTGTTTGGCACTACGCACTGAATATGCGCATATGCGCTCTTTGATGCTGTTGAAAATGCTGCATCAAATCTTTGTATTGACGAGTCCGTTAAACGTCTCTACGTCTTTCCCCTTTGTCAGCATCGCGCCCCCCACCCCCCCCCCCGCCCCCAACTCTTTGCACATCCTCCGTAGTATATGTTCAGTTACCATGACAACCCTTTATCGAAAAGAGTATTTTTCGTATGCCTTTTTTTTTATCTCCTTGTGACGTTTCTCTCCAGTCAGGTACGCCTCCTCAATTATCTAGACATTGCTCCCAAACCTCTTCAAACTCTTCTTCCGTTTTCACCCATAAGTAAAAGAAGAAATAAATAAAAGNAAAAAAAAAGGGGGGGGGGGTTGGGGGGGGGGGGGGGAGAGAGAGACGGATGAAGACCATAATGACTTTACCTTTCTGCTTTGAGTCCCAGTTTAAAAAAAAAAAAGAAGATCCCGGTGCTCAGCATTTTCTAAATATTTGGTATTGTGATTATGAGGGTCTTCCAACACCTGGGAATGTGGAGCCACCACCACCACTACAGTACAGGCCATGCTTCACTCAGCTCTGGAACAGCGATTGGGGTCAAGGACTCTCAAACGGCACATACTCTTACCTTTCATGCACTCTTGGTTGGGGCGGTAAAACAGGGGTTAGTGACCTTGAACCTTGCTCACCTCGAATGGCTTACACAATTTCTCATTTTAAAAAAAGAACACCATTTAAATGCTTAAAACTGAAAAGCTTAGGAAGCGCTGCACCCGACCAACTGACTGGGGTGTAGCCCCTTTTGGGCCATGGACATATTATGTCACACAAAGAAAGAAAGAAAAAGACGTTTGTGAGGGCATCCCCTCCCCCCCCCCTTGTAACCTTGTACACGAGAGCGCGCGCCATTGACCGACCTACTATCATTCTAGGACAATTTTTGGCACACCCCCCCCCCCCTCAACCAACAACAACAAAAATCTAAAGAAAAATCGATGAAGCCGAAACAAATGTCAAGAGAAAGCCAGGAATTGTTACACTATTATTGACACAAATAATGTGTCAACCTATCTAACACGTAGAGAGATCTACAAATCAAATTTTGTGGCGGGGTTTGTGGGTTTGTTCCACAAAGGCTTTCACGTGGATTGATGGAGCTTGACCAAACTTGGCACATATATCCATCATGATCCAGAAGGAACTCTTAAAGGGTTATGAAATTTTTATAACATTCCTTTTGGGGCTGGGGGCCTCGAATTCGTTTTTTTTCCTTATATGAGCTATATAAAAAATAATTAGAATCAAATACTCCTACATGAGTAGATGAATCTTGACCAAGCTTAGTACACATATACTTTATTATCCATATTCAAATACCGAAGGGTACTGAAATCATAATATCCACTCTTCTGGGGCCTGGGGCCCCATTTCATTTTTCCTTCTATAAGCTATATAAATATCCATAGGGTTAGACAACGGCATAGGTTCTATGTGAATTTTTGGATCTAAGCCTAGCTTTGTTCATAACGCTTCTTTGTCCGTAGTGAAATATCGGTGGACCGAAAACTAAGAATATCCAATCTAGAGTTTTCCAGAAATTTCGATAATTTTAAAAAGCTCTATCTACGGCATTTGAAAGTAGATTTTAATGGGACAAACTTTTAAAATTTAACTCTACTATTTATCCGTCTGATAGGGCCCCCTATCTCAGGCATAACTCAATCGGTACAGTTATGATATGGGTCCCCGGGGCCCCATGATTAACTTAACAGAAAAAGGATTGTAATTATGGCAATAGTTGAAGATTTTTATCGCATTCAAAAAATAATTAGAAAAGTAGTTTGACACATGTTTCGAGCAGGT